CTGATGTAAATATATGTATAACTGATGTAAATATATGTATTACTTATGTAAATATATGTATCACTGATGTAAATATATGTATTACTAATGTAAATACTGATGTATTACTGATGTAAATATATGTATAACTGATGTAAATATATGTATTACTTATGTAAATATATGTATCACTGATGTAAATATATGTATTACTAATGTAAATACTGATGTATTACTGATGTAAATATATGTATAACTGATGTAAATATATGTATTACTTATGTAAATATATGTATCACTGATGTAAATATATGTATTACTAATGTAAATACTGATGTATTACTGATGTAAATATATGTATAACTGATGTAAATATATGTATTACTTATGTAAATATATGTATCACTGATGTAAATATATGTATTACTAATGTAAATACATGTATTACTGATGTAAATATATGTATCACTGATGTAAATACATATATCACTGATGCAAATATGTGTATCACTGATGTAAATACATGTATCACTGATGTAAATACATGTATTACTGATGTAAATATATGTATCACTGATGTAAATACATGTATTACTGATGTAAATATATGTAATACTGATGTAAATACATGTATCACTGATGTAAATACTTGTATCATTGGTGTAAATATGTTTCACTGATGTTAATATATGTATCACTGATGTAAATACATGTATTACTGATGTAAATACATGTATCACTGATGTAATGTATGTATTACTGATGTAAATATATGTATCACTGATGTAAATACATGTTTCACTGATGTAAATACTTGTATCATTGGTGTAAATATGTTTCAATGATGTAAATGCATGTATCAATGATGTAAATACATGTATCACTGATGTAAATACTTGTATTACTTATGTAAATACATGTATCAATGATGTAAATACATGTATTACTGATGTAAATACTTGTATTACTTATGTAAATAATTATACTACTGATGTAAATACTTGTATTACTTATGTAAATACATGTATCAATGATGTAAATACATGTATTACTGATGTAAATACATGTATTACTGATGTAAATACATGTATCACTGATGTAAATAATTATACTACTGATGTAAATACATGTATCACTGATGTAAATATTTGTATCACTGATGTAAATACATGTATTACTGATGTAAATACATGTATTATCGATGTAAATATATGTATCACTGATGTAAATATATGTATCAATGATGTAAATGCATGTATCAATGATGTAAATACATGTATCACTGATGTAAATACTTGTATTACTTATGTAAATACATGTATCAATGATGTAAATACATGTATTACTGATGTAAATACTTGTATTACTTATGTAAATAATTATACTACTGATGTAAATACTTGTATTACTTATGTAAATACATGTATCAATGATGTAAATACATGTATCACTGATGTAAATATATGTATCACTGATGTAAATACTTGTATTACTGATGTAAATACATGTATCACTGATGTAAATACTTGTATCATTGGTGTAAATATGTTTCACTGATGTTAATATATGTATCACTGATGTAAATACATGTATTACTGATGTAAATACATGTATTATCGATGTAAATACATGTATCACTGATGTAAATAATTATACTACTGATGTAAATACATGTATCACTGATGTAAATATTTGTATCACTGATGTAAATACATGTATTACTGATGTAAATACATGTATTATCGATGTAAATATATGTATCACTGATGTAAATATATGTATCAATGATGTAAATGCATGTATCAATGATGTAAATACATGTATCACTGATGTAAATACTTGTATCACTGATGTAAATACATGTATAACTGATGTAAATACATGTATTACTGATGTAAAACATGTATCACTGATGTATATATATGTATCACTGATGTAAATACATCAAATATTTTACACATGTGTCACAACGTAGGTGATTTAGGGTAATAGGTATTGTTTTTCTCTCTACACCAACAAGGTCATTAACATATATACGAAGGAAAAGATTACAGTTTACTTTATCCTTGACTTTTAACCCAAGAAAACACAAGAGACTAATACTCGAAAAAGGAAGGTAGGATGCCAGCCTTATTGACTACATTTTTATACAAGTAGTTTGTGGTAATGTATACAAGTAGTTCTTCGTCATGAACAAGTGTGTACTAGGACTGAGAACTGTTGTCCTCATCGAGTCTCTCTTGACATACATAATATATATATCCAGTCTGTACCAGGCTGCAGCTTAAGGGCCTATAGACACAACGTTTACATCATACACTATATACACTTCTATCAAATTCTGAAGAAATTATTAGTTATCTTTAATTTAATGTAGTCCTGTAGTGTGTCAACAACCCACCAAAGATACACAAACGGCAAATAAGAAATATAGGAGGCTCAGTGTTCAGCCGTACCCTAGTGACAATTTAGTGGTAAAAGGGAAGCAACTCTTCATAATACAAAATACATTTGTGTTTGCTAACAGAAACAAAGTAAGAAAGATAACTCTTACTTGAAAAGTGTACCAAATATGGAGAAAGAATTTATCTAAAACAAGAGACCCAGAGGGCCTGTATTGCTCACCTGGATACATTGCATGACATTCTCATTGACAGTAGTATGGCAAGATCCCAGGGACAGGGCCAATCATAGTGGCATATGTGTAACAAAATCTTCATGCTAAGCAATTGTATATATCTTAATAGTTCCATTTTTTTGACCCAGGGAGTAAAGTACCTAAGGGTGAGAGCAGACCGCAAGACCGACTCTGGTAGCATGATTGAGTGTGTTTCTTTATGCCCAGCAATTGTATTTAGAGTTATGGGGTGGGATTGGTTTTATTTTGTGAAATGTCCTATATTATATATATATAACAGCTAAGGTCACCTCAACCATATCGATGTTTTGACCCGGGGACTAAGTCTCCAAGCATACGACCAGTGGCTCAATCCTGGAAGCTTATTTGTAGTTGCCTTTAAGCCTGGCAATCATATACGCTGTATATGGTTATAGGATGGGGACCTTAACTGTTTCCAAGTTACCAGGAAACCAAATACTGTACCAATAGTATTTGTTTCATTATGCGCAGCAATTGTATATTATAAGAGTCTTTCATGTCAAGGGGTGTATGCAGGATAGGGAAATTCCACCCGAGGGGTTTCAAATTTGGTAAAACCTGAGGGTGGAATTTTTCCTATCCAGCACCCTTGGGTATGAAACAGTATTTTTCTCTCATTCCAACCACCAGAATATCATCAGAAACCGCCAAAACGCATTTGGACTGGCTTCCATTTTGAAAATATCCTTCCCCCCACGAGCTTTTTGACATAAACAAATTCGTCAGCGAGATTTAGCATACCCCATATTTGCAAACAGAAAAAAAAAAATCTAATCTTTCTAACGTCATTGTTGAGCCATTGTGACGTCACCCCCATGTAAGATGATAAGCATGGTTATCTTACATGGCCAGCGTTATCTTGCATGACCGGATATGAGAGAAATATGAAAAGGGTGGAAATCTCAACTGTTTCCAAGTTGAGACTCAGAAACTTGCTCCCCAGGGGTGTAGCTAGATCCCAGGGTCAATTCTAATATCATGATCGTGTTTGTCTCTTTATGCCCAGCAATTGTATACATGGTTATGGAGTGGGGATTTCAACCATTTTATAGTTATGACTAAGAAACTAATTCCTTGCAGGGATGGCCAGACCCCAGGGTCAATGCTTATATCATAACTGTGTTCATATTTGGACCATTTTTAAAGTTATGACCAAGTGACTGTATCTCCAAGGGTGAGGCAAGACCCCAGAGCCACCCTGGAAGCATATGTGTAATCATCTCTTTATACTCAGCAATTATATGGTTATTGGGTAGGGATCTTAATCATTTCGAAGTTAAAAAACTCCTTTTTCCCCATCCCTCAGCCAAAAAGGTCAGCCCTTCGACTTGTACAATTCTGAATCCCTATAATGTTAGAATGCTTCCATTCAAATATGATTGATATCCATCTCTTAGTTCCAAAGAAGAAGTGGCTTAAAGCAATAAGGCCATATTACCTCTTTTTGGCCTATACCCTCAGCCCTCCCTTTATACAATTCTGAATTATCCTCGCCTAGGGACACCATATTACCTCTTTCTGGCCTATACCCTCAGCCCTCCTGTTATACAATTCTGAATTATCATTGCCTAGGGACACCATATTACCTCTTTTTGGCCTATACCCTCCGCCCTCCCTTTATACAATTCTGAATTATCATCGCCTAGGGACACCTGAGTCAAGTTTGGTTGATATCCTTCTTTTAGTTCCAGAAAAGTCACTTATAGAAATATGCCCAAATAACCTGTTTTGGCCCCACCTCTCAGCCCATTTCTGGGGTCAGCCCCTCCATTTGTACAACTTTGAATCCTCACCACCTAAATAAATATGGGTGATATACATCATTTAGTTTCAGTTGATTAAAGCAATATGGCCAAATACCCCTTTATGGCCCTGTAAATATAAAGAATAGTTTTCTATTTTGGTAAGGTTATGAGGTAATAACTTGTTGATCACAAGTAAATTCATCATATATGACTTCAACATCCATTCAATTTACACAATCTGACCAAAATAGAAACCTTTCTTCTTACAATTTTGTCAACGTGTACAGTAACGGGTCAGTTATTTTTTTGGATATGATTGTGCCGCACTCCTCAAAAGTACTGACATGTTCAACCTCTAACACTGTTGGAGTAGAGTAACAGGTCACATAATATAACACTATAACTTCCAGGGAAATTATCATGATGTGGTGTTGTGGATAGTGTTACTGGTATTAATCCCTGTCATGTGGCACACACTTGACGCCAGGGCAGGGTATTATAAAATTATCTTTCTTCTGCATCTTAAGAAATAAACACAATGTATTAAAATTACTTTTTTTTTTTTACCTGCGGCTATCAGTTGATATATACTACAAACAAATAAGAAGTTGACATACCTAATATATTTCAGCTTCACACCTAACCGATTTCTCCTGACCACATTCTGTAAATAAAAGTGTTACATTGTATTAGACAGCAATTTTGTGCCATATCATGTGTAATGGGCAAAGGGCAATAACTCTTACAGATTTACATAAAAACTTTCCTTTTTTGTATGATAAAGTTACTGAAGCCAGTGGAGGCCGTAGGATATCCTTACTTTTATTGATTGTAATTCTGTATTTTTGTAGCCTGGCCAATTATTGTTAAACCTGACTGGTGAGGTGAACCAGACGTGTTTGTACCTATAATGCTTATTTCACCAGCATCGACAATTGATGTGCATGAAAAATACTTCTTTATCTCCAAACCCTGATTTTAATAAAAAAAAAATATGTGAGTGCAATAAATGACTTTAAGCTCACAGGAGACAGCCAAAGTAAAATCCTTGTCAAAATGACAATACGTCTAAATCAAGTAAGTTTAGTTAGGTTTTCTTTTATTAAACAAGAGGACCAAAGGCCTTAACCCTTTCACCCACTTTAGTAGACTTTACAATGTATTGATATGGATGAGTCCATTTTGGTCTACAGTGTTGAAAGGGTTAACAGTCTTCTGAACAACAATATATGTAATTTACATTACATTACTCATCATATCAGCAATGGAAAACAAGAATTCCACGGAAGTGGATTGTCGGCTGTGCAGGAAGCTGGGAGATTACGAAGAAAAAGATACATTTTTGGTCAGCCCAAATAATGTTAAAAGTAAGCAATAATCATAGATTATGTTTTTGGATGGCATCATTTTGTTATATAATCTGTTATTCTGGGAAGAATACTCTGAGTTTTAAGGAACTTGCTATGGATACTCATTGTCTCAATTCCAAGTTTAATTTGTATGATTTGTCGAATGGTTTCCCATAAATAAATGAATAAACTTGTGGATTATGATGTTAAACAGCTAGTGTTGTCAATAACATCTGGAGTAAGGCATTTCAGAGGTATACTCGGTGGGTCAAGTGGTAGATCGAAGCCGTCCAGTATACAGTTTTAGTGAAGTTTCTATTTATAGTAACAGAGACCTTGACCTTTGACCTTCGGACATGAAAAGCAATCCCAAGCAAGCACTTTTGGTAAGGAATCACTGCATGAAGTTTGAGTTTGATCGGCCCAAGTAAACTCAAGTTATCGCACGAAAACCTCTGTTCGGACGACGCCGACGCTGACAAAGCAATACCTATGTGTCACCAGCTTTTCGCAGGCGACACAAAAATGAAATTGTTTGGTTTTGAATTACAAATAATCTTTTTGTCAGTTAGCCAATTTTCCCCCCTTTGACCTAAACCTGAATTATGTCCAACTGAAAATGGATAAAATATAGTCTCAGGCGTTATTTCCCTTAATCAGCTATATAAACTGTATCCCCTCCCTAAGGGGGAATGGATGACCCATCAGTAACAAGAGACCCAGAGGTAAGAAGGGTGTGCGGTGCCCCGAAATTATTGGTTCTTCACGAATCAGAACTTTCGAATTGAATCACCGATAAGGATTTCCGGAAATCGGTTCGGTTCCAATTCTGAGTGTTGGACAATAGTGTGCTCTCCAGTATACGCACAATAATTTTGTACAATGTTAAGTCATTTTTGTAGCATGTTTGTATTTTAAATGATGATATTCAGAAAATTGAAAGCGACTGTCAGATTTTTCCGCTTATGACGGAAGTCCAGTAGTAAACAATGCATGCAGCGCACCAAGCGGCGAATATAATTGACGGGAGGTAATGAGTCCGCAATGTCCTTCAATAATACGCGAGTGCGTAGCCGGACTATCGGTATCCTCGGGGCTGATTATCATTATACTGCTTAATTGATCATGAATGACGGAAAAAAACCAGCAGACGCTATTTGGATTTCTGTCGTAAGCTAAAGACGACAACTTTCAGTTCATATTCTTACATAATGACTGTCTATATGCCCAGTGTGGGCAAGTTACATGATCTCTGTTTCATTTTTTAAAAACGTAATCAAAACACTGACATTTGAGTTTGAATTACGTTTTCTTGTGCAATTTGAAATTAAAGCGAATCATCTGTAGAAATAAACTGGTGCATGGCTAAGATTACATCATTGTTATAACTGATTTTTTAGTATTTTTGCCAAAAGTGATCCAATTTGGGTACTGCCTCCTTACACAATTTTCATTCTGTTACTGACTAATTCTTGGTGTTTTTATTCTATGACAAACTGGAAATATTATGAAATAATTAAAAACCTGTAAAAATGACATTGCTACAATTAGTTAACAATTTTGTGATGATATTACATACCCATGGGGATTTAGATAAGGTGAACCCCTAATATATGCAGCCATACCCCCATTTTGAGAGGTATGGGGGTACAAAAAAAAACAATTACAAAAGTGACAGGGAATGCTGTTTTATTCAAATACCAAACAGGGTCTACGTCTTTGATGTCAAATCTTTTAAAAAGAAAGCATGGCATTTCAATTAATGACTCGCGGCAATCAACATCAACACGTTCTACCCCTAGCAGTGAAAACATTTTAACTTCGTAAAAACTTTAATATGTTACCATGGCTACTTTATAAACTGTTACTTTTGTTTTGTTATACCTTAAATAAAGGTTTTATACTTGATTCTTATGTTTTTATGAGAAAGTGTGTATCAAGTGAATCGATTCGAAAAAAATCGATTCGAAGGGATCAAAATCGAAATCGAACTGATTTGTCCAAGCCCTACCCAGAGGGCCTGTACCCCTCATATTTAAGCAATCATGACAAAAGATCTTGAATCCACATCACCTGAAAATTCTTCCAGCCAAATATGGTTGATATCGATATCTTAGTTCCGGAGGCATTTAATGCAGTATTGCCAGTTCTACAAAGGTTGGGATGTAACAACACTTAAAGTGGTTAATAACCATGGATTATTTGACGATAGACCATGCATGAGCATGTATATTATTTTCAAACAGATTAACACTCTTCCAAAAACCAACCCTGCAAATGTACCGATAAACAAGCTAGTCGCGGGACTGGTTTCATTTGTCGAATGAGGGTACCCCCATTTAATTTTGTATGTATTTAAAGATTTGCTAGCGGACAAACAAAATCTATTTAACATCTAGATCTACCCTGAAGCGCCTAGCGCGAGGAGGGGGAAGGTATGGGAGGGGGTTTAGGCGGCCTCCTCCAGGAGAATTTTGTTTTCTAGAACACCTGAGACGCGTTCTCCCGTGTTCTGGCATCAGTTTCAATGGCCCCTTTAAAGCAAGAAAATATCATTTTCCCCCTTTTATTTTACAAATATTTTGCATATAGTCAATGTTGCGTTTTTTTGTGTGTTTAAGCCCAGTGTCATGCATAAAAAGTACCCCCCTACCAAAAAGTATCCGGATACTTTTTATACCTGCATAAAATGTACCCCCCCCCCCCTGCATAAAAAGTACCCCCCTGTGAAAAATTAAGTTCAGGACTTGAACAGGACATTACAGGGGAAAATTTATCCACCCCTTCCCCACCAACGGGGACAGGAATTTATGCAAAATAAATTTGGGGAGTCATGTAAAAACATTTACAGTTATGTTATATTCATTACCCAACCTATATTCAACTCCCCACCCCCCGGATACTTTTTATACACCAGACCAAAATTATTTTGGCATGATTTCCTGGTCCCAGGGGTGGGGATTGGTGGGGTAGAAATACAATACTTGTCATGTCATCAAAAGGCCCCACCCTAGCCCCTGGGGATGGGGCAGGAATTCCAATTTTGCAATGTAATACGCTCATCCACCAAAGATGATTCTGACCAAGTTTGAATCATTTTCTGCTGAAAATGGATCAAATTTACCCAAAAGTGTTATTTCCCTATATAAACTATGCCATGCCCTGGCCCCAGGGGTTGGGGTAGGAATCCCAATTTTACAGTTTTGTAGCCTCATCTACCAAGGATGATTCTGACCAAGTTTGAAAAAAATCAATCCACTGGTTCTTGAGAAGTTGAAAATGTAAAAAGTTTACGCACGACGACGGACGGAAATCAATTAGAATAGGTCACTTGAGCAAAGCTCAGGTGACATAAAAACATTGATACAATTTCCATAATTTAATCAATCAATATATTCAATTCACATTTTATAACAGTCTTACATAAAGCGATTAATATTATTGAATCATAGTGGGTTTTTTTCGCTTATCTGCATGCTAGTGCGGAGGGGAATAGCGATCTGGTAGTTAGTCAGACCCGTGGAGATATCACCAAGCCAGTGTTATGGTCTCATAACACGGAACTGGCTTTGGTAGTGTTATATAGTGACAAAGCAGAGCAAGGGTAAATACTTACGGTAACTGATATTAAAACTATTTTCTACAAAGCCACAACTTGTTTTTGCAGAAGTGTTGAAAAAAAAGAAATACAAACTATTTTTCAGTTCTTTTTCCAGCTGGGGTATATATTAACAACTTCAATATTGTATTTACGTTTTGTGTAGTAACTCCTAATGTTTCCTTTTATAATTTTTATATATTTCATGTTAATGACGGTGCATACCATTATTATAACACATCAAAAATTATATCAAATGTATCATTTCATCAGTCTTGGAAATATCAATATTTTTTTTTTTTAAATCAAATATTTTAACAAAGATAATATAAACAAGAGGCCCAATGGGCCTGCATCGCTCACCTGGTATTAATATCACACTTGTAATTTTAAAAGTTGACTAAAATACAGCTACAAACAGAATATCAGTGTTTGATTCATAAAAACCTATTAAAAGATTTAAACATATGACGACTGTGATCTTGAATGTGGAACAAGGACATTAGGTTGAAAGTGGGTCAAGGTCATTCATTTGAACAAAAGTGGTAGCCCTTCATCCCAGCATGCTACAGGCCCAATATCAGTACCCTGGGCCTTTTGGTTATTAAGAGAAGGCATTCGAAGATTTTAAGACATTTGACCCCATGTAACCTTGAAAGTGGGCCAAGGTCATTCATTTGAACAAACTTTGTAGCCCTTCATCCCAGCATGTTAAAGACCCAATATCAGTTCCCTGGACCGTTTGGTTATTAAGAAGAAGTCGTTTGAAGATTTTATGACATTTGACCCCTGTGACCTTGAACGTTGGTCAAAGTCATTCATTTCAACAAACTTGGTAGCCCTTCATCCCAGCATGCTACAGGCCCAATATCAGTACCCTTGACCTTTTGGTTATTAAGAAGAAGTCGTTTGAAGATTTTAAGACATTTGACCCCAGTGACCTTTAAAGTTCGTCAAGGTCATTCATTTCAACAAACTTGGTATCCCTTCATCCCAGCATACTACAGACCCAATATCAGTACCCTGGGCCTTTTGGTTATTCAAAAGAAGTCGTTTGAAGATTTTAAGACATTTGACCCCTGTGACCTTGAAAGTGGGTCAAGGTCATTCATTTGAACAAACTTGGTAGACCTTCTTCCAAGCATGCTACATGCCAAATATCATCAGCCTGGGCCTCTTGGTTATCTGGTTATCTTCGGGCCAGGTGAGCTAACAATGTCAGTGCTATTTATTTGATATTAATTCTTCGATTGAAGGGAAAAAATTAGATACCATAGCGCATCAAAAAATTTGTGGAGAACACCGTTGTTACCCTTTCCCAAACCTGCACTCCCTTCAGCTCCCTTTAGATCTCACAGGTAAGTTACAAAGGTACCTTCATAATGACCCCAGGGGTTACTTGTGTTAGGTACAAGTGTATAAAATGCTCACTTTTGGTGCTCTTATTAACTCATTCACCCCTGAAGACACATTTGAACTCCTCCAGTGTAAAGGCTGGAATAGTTCATTATAAAATTTCAGGGGTGAATGAGTTCAAAGGCTTTAAGGCTCCTCATTATGAAATGATCTTATTTTACTCCAGACATTTTTTTTACAATTCATCAATCAATTTTCAAACAAGAGGCCAAAGAGGGCCTGTATCGCTCACCTGAATATTTAAGCAGTCATAGCAAAATATTCTCATTAAATATTATATTGCACTAAAAATATTTCCCTCGCAAACTTTGTTGGCTCCATCTGTTGAAACTACCAGCAAAATATTATTATAAGATTCTATGCTTTTTGATTCTTCTTCA